GAGACGGTGCGAACTGGTGTGCGACCTGTGTGCATGGGCATGTGTGTGCTGTCACGATGGTTGATTGGCTGTTGTATTCGTGATATTCTGCTTGATGGCAGTGGTGTAAGGAGAACGTGTCGGTGTGCTTGTTATCGAAGTTGTTTAATGATGCGCTGTATGTGAGTTATGTTGCGACCGGTGCGTGGATGTGGTTGCTCATTGCCTGATGCAATGTAGTGTTGTGTGAGTGTAATATTTGCTTACGTCTGTGTGTCGTCATCATTGTTTGCCCGCGTGCAGTGCATGGTGTTCCATCGGTTGTATATTGGTGTGGTAGCTTAAACAATGAACGTTCCTCCTGATGGACCTTTGTTTACTTGTTTGTTGTTTGGAGGTATACCCCTCCTTGGTTATCTCATCGTTCGGTGGATCGTGCTGAGTAGTATTTGGTATTTCTCTATTGGCCTGGTGAGTCGTTGAGCGAGTTGTTGCTGTGCGCTTAGACTTGTGCACTGTACTCCCAGCTGATTTGTATGTTTTCCGTTGCTGCCGCCTTGTGAAATAGTTTGAAGCTGTGGCATATGTCTGAATGAATTGTGCGAATATGCATTTGTATTGATTTTCGTGTTATTGATACCTGATGTTTTGTATTTCAGCGGCGTAGTTGTATTGTGCATGGCGTGCTGGCGACCGCACGGTGCTTCGGAGAAATGAGTGACCAGCGTTGTGGCCAATAGTGTGAGTGGAATAGTTGGAACGGGTAAGTGTGCGAGTGTAGTTTAGATGATGTTGCATAGTTCACTTGACTTTAGTGATGGAAGTATACGTGCTGATGTTTGCTGTGAGATGTGTGACAACGCTGTTGTTTCTGATTTCAGGTTGATCTCTTGTAATGTGCCGTTTCACTGTGTCGGGGCTGCAAAACGTAAGCAGGTGAGTGCACTTCTACTGTAGTTAAAGTAGTAATGTTAGTAGTTGTTTATGATGCGACACCTCTTGCCCGACAGTTGAGGTGAATTGTACTCTGAGTTGGTGTATGTTAGCTGTGGTTAATTAGGAGTGGACGAGGTATGCGAAAGAGTGCTTTTCCTTGTGCGCAGGCTACTTGTTGGACGTCGTTCGTTGGATGTGGACCGAGGGGGACGTGTGTGGTGAGTGTGCTTATTGTTTAATGATGCTATTCAGTTCTGCTGTTGATTGGTGACAACAACAACAACTATCTGAGTGTGTGTAGTGCATGTTTGATGTTGTACTCACGCTGTTGTTTTTTTCCTTGTAGGGAGCTTGGTGATTGGTGGTTGCAATCGGGTGGGAAGTGTGAGTTTCGCATTTTTCTCTCTGTATGTGTGTGTGTGTGTGTGTTTGAAAAGTATTTTGTGATGGTGCACATGCGGACCGGTTGTGTGTGCAAGGTCGGCCAATTGTATCTTGGAAACTACTGTTTTTCTTGTTAGGCGTTGATGCTGAATGCCAGGCAACGTGGATCTGTTCGGCATGAGGAGTTGTAAAGATCCGAGTGGTTAGTGGAATCAGATGAGATCGATGACGGAGAATGCGTGTTTTTATCCGCTGGGCGACACAAAGTGTCCTCCTCACCTGAGAATTTTGTTGATAGAAGTTTTTTACCGATTACGTGGCTCCGACGTTCTGATCGGCCGATGCAGCGTACTTTGGATTCGCAGTACTTCGATCTGGCATTCATACACCGACGAGCCGACGGGCGTTGACGATGACGTCATTGTGCAGTTGATGTGTCCGTGAACATTCTGTTGTTGCGGATAGCGTTGGCGCATCGGGTAGCGTGGACGGGTTTTTGACCCGGACATAGATTGACACTGCAAGGGAATGAGTCGATGATGTGGCATAATATATCTGGTAAGATGCGATAGGGTTTGTAGATTTGGAGCCGAGGAGAAAGTGTTGACATCTTTAAGTTTGGTGCGTGCTGGTATTCAGTGGCGCGGTGGTCTCATGTTCAGAGACTCCATATGTGAAGACCGCATCTTCACACCCACTGTGTCCCCCCCTCCCTAACCGGCTGGCTGACATGTCCTTAAGCTGCCACCGAGTTTGTCTACTCGCATGCGATGTGCCTAACTGGTGTATGCGCACGGAACTCTGAAGCACAATTACTTCTCACATGTCCCGTGTTCTTGCATGTGTGATGTGGAGTTATCTTGATTCGGTAGTACACCTGTCTGAGTGTTACCGACTCCTTGTGTACCTAGGCGGTTGTGTATTTGTTGTTATCATAGAGGTGTTGCTTCACAGTTCTGATCGTGGGTTGAGTGTGGTTGTTGTTGGCGTGGGAAGTGGCTGCTGCATGCGATTGGTTGCAGGGTTGTTGCTTGCAGTTCCGGTGTGTTTCGTGTCGTAGCGTTACGGAAGTTTGCGCATTTGTGTCCATGGGAGACTGGAGCATTGTCCGTTCCGTCAATTGGAGATATTTGAATGAGCGTTTTGAATCAGGAGAGTGCCTGAGAAAAATTTACTTTGTCATACCTGTGGTCCCTATGCTACTGACTGAATTTTTGAACTGTTGGTACAAGTACGTAGAGCGTTGGTGGTGCTCTTTGCCAACAGTCTCATTGGATAGGATAATCGCTGTGTCAGAAGACAGAGAAGGGTGATGAACGGATGGGCGAGTGTTGCGGTTCACTACGAAGGCATCCGTGTTGGAGACTGTTGATGAGTACGTGGAGGTGGTTGGATCATTGTTGTTTGTTGTTGGAATCTGAAGTGAAATGTGGATGAGTGATGGTGTTGATGTGTTCTTGTGTGGTAGAGACGGTGCGAACTGGTGTGCGACCTGTGTGCATGGGCATGTGTGTGCTGTCACGATGGTTGATTGGCTGTTGTATTCGTGATATTCTGCTTGATGGCAGTGGTGTAAGGAGAACGTGTCGGTGTGCTTGTTATCGAAGTTGTTTAATGATGCGCTGTATGTGAGTTATGTTGCGACCGGTGCGTGGATGTGGTTGCTCATTGCCTGATGCAATGTAGTGTTGTGTGAGTGTAATATTTGCTTACGTCTGTGTGTCATTATCATTGTTTGCCCGCGTGCAGTGCATGGTGTTCCATCGGTTGTATATTGGGTGGTAGCTTAAACAATGAACGTTCCTCCTGATGGACCTTTGTTTACTTGTTTGTTGTTTGGAGGTATACCCCTCCTTGGTTATCTCATCGTTCGGTGGATCGTGCTGAGTAGTATTTGGTATTTCTCTATTGGCCTGGTGAGTCGTTGAGCGAGTTGTTGCTGTGCGCTTAGACTTGTGCACTGTACTCCCAGCTGCTTTGTATGTTTCCGTTGCTGCCGCCTTGTGAAATAGTTTGAAGCTGTGGCATATGTCTGAATGAATTGTGCGAATATGCATTTGTATGATTTTCGTGTTATTGATACCTGATGTTTTGTATTTCAGCGGCGTAGTTGTATTGTGCATGGCGTGCTGGCGACCGCACGGTGCTTCGGAGAAATGAGTGACCAGCGTTGTGGCCAATAGTGTGAGTGGAATAGTTGGAACGGGTAAGTGTGCGAGTGTAGTTTAGATGATGTTGCATAGTTCACTTGACTTTAGTGATGGAAGTATACGTGCTGATGTTTGCTGTGAGATGTGTGACAACGCTGTTGTTTCTGATTTCAGGTTGATCTCTTGTAATGTGCCGTTTCACTGTGTCGGGGCTGCAAAACGTAAGCAGGTGAGTGCACTTCTACTGTAGTTAAAGTAGTAATGTTAGTAGTTGTTTATGATGCGACACCTCTTGCCCGACAGTTGAGGTGAATTGTACTCTGAGTTGGTGTATGTTAGCTGTGGTTAATTAGGAGTGGACGAGGTATGCGAAAGAGTGCTTTTCCTTGTGCGCAGGCTACTTGTTGGACGTCGTTCGTTGGATGTGGACCGAGGGGGACGTGTGTGGTGAGTGTGCTTATTGTTTAATGATGCTATTCAGTTCTGCTGTTGATTGGTGACAACAACAACAACTATCTGAGTGTGTGTAGTGCATGTTTGATGTTGTACTCACGCTGTTGTTTTTTTCCTTGTAGGGAGCTTGGTGATTGGTGGTTGCAATCGGGTGGGAAGTGTGAGTTTCGCATTTTTCTCTCTGTATGTGTGTGTGTGTGTGTGTTTGAAAAGTATTTTGTGATGGTGCACATGCGGACCGGTTGTGTGTGCAAGGTCGGCCAATTGTATCTTGGAAACTACTGTTTTTCTTGTTAGGCGTTGATGCTGAATGCCAGGCAACGTGGATCTGTTCGGCATGAGGAGTTGTAAAGATCCGAGTGGTTAGTGGAATCAGATGAGATCGATGACGGAGAATGCGTGTTTTTATCCGCTGGGCGACACAAAGTGTCCTCCTCACCTGAGAATTTTGTTGATAGAAGTTTTTTACCGATTACGTGGCTCCGACGTTCTGATCGGCCGATGCAGCGGACTATGGATTCGCAGTACTTCGATCTGGCATTCATACACCGACGAGCCGACGGGCGTTGACGATGACGTCATTGTGCAGTTGATGTGTCCGTGAACATTCTGTTGTTGCGGATAGCGTTGGCGCATCGGGTAGCGTGGACGGGTTTTTGACCCGGACATAGATTGACACTGCAAGGGAATGAGTCGATGATGTGGCATAATATATCTGGTAAGATGCGATAGGGTTTGTAGATTTGGAGCCGAGGAGAAAGTGTTGACATCTTTAAGTTTGGTGCGTGCTGGTATTCAGTGGCGCGGTGGTCTCATGTTCAGAGACTCCATATGTGAAGACCGCATCTTCACACCCACTGTGTCCCCCCCCCCCCTAACCGGCTGGCTGACATGTCCTTAAGCTGCCACCGAGTTTGTCTACTCGCATGCGATGTGCCTAACTGGTGTATGCGCACGGAACTCTGAAGCACAATTACTTCTCACATGTCCCGTGTTCCTGCATGTGTGATGTGGAGTTATCTTGATTCGGTAGTACACCTGTCTGAGTGTTACCGACTCCTTGTGTACCTAGGCGGTTGTGTATTTGTTGTTATCATAGAGGTGTTGCTTCACAGTTCTGATCGTGGGTTGAGTGTGGTTGTTGTTGGCGTGGGAAGTGGCTGCTGCATGCGATTGGTTGCAGGGTTGTTGCTTGCAGTTCCGGTGTGTTTCGTGTCGTAGCGTTACGGAAGTTTGCGCATTTGTGTCCATGGGAGACTGGAGCATTGTCCGTTCCGTCAATTGGAGATATTTGAATGAGCGTTTTGAATCAGGAGAGTGCCTGAGAAAAATTTACTTTGTCATACCTGTGGTCCCTATGCTACTGACTGAATTTTTGAACTGTTGGTACAAGTACGTAGAGCGTTGGTGGTGCTCTTTGCCAACAGTCTCATTGGATAGGATAATCGCTGTGTCAGAAGACAGAGAAGGGTGATGAACGGATGGGCGAGTGTTGCGGTTCACTACGAAGGCATCCGTGTTGGAGACTGTTGATGAGTACGTGGAGGTGGTTGGATCATTGTTGTTTGTTGTTGGAATCTGAAGTGAAATGTGGATGAGTGATGGTGTTGATGTGTTCTTGTGTGGTAGAGACGGTGCGAACTGGTGTGCGACCTGTGTGCATGGGCATGTGTGTGCTGTCACGATGGTTGATTGGCTGTTGTATTCGTGATATTCTGCTTGATGGCAGTGGTGTAAGGAGAACGTGTCGGTGTGCTTGTTATCGAAGTTGTTTAATGATGCGCTGTATGTGAGTTATGTTGCGACCGGTGCGTGGATGTGGTTGCTCATTGCCTGATGCAATGTAGTGTTGTGTGAGTGTAATATTTGCTTACGTCTGTGTGTCATTATCATTGTTTGCCCGCGTGCAGTGCATGGTGTTCCATCGGTTGTATATTGGGTGGTAGCTTAAACAATGAACGTTCCTCCTGATGGACCTTTGTTTACTTGTTTGTTGTTTGGAGGTATACCCCTCCTTGGTTATCTCATCGTTCGGTGGATCGTGCTGAGTAGTATTTGGTATTTCTCTATTGGCCTGGTGAGTCGTTGAGCGAGTTGTTGCTGTGCGCTTAGACTTGTGCACTGTACTCCCAGCTGCTTTGTATGTTTCCGTTGCTGCCGCCTTGTGAAATAGTTTGAAGCTGTGGCATATGTCTGAATGAATTGTGCGAATATGCATTTGTATGATTTTCGTGTTATTGATACCTGATGTTTTGTATTTCAGCGGCGTAGTTGTATTGTGCATGGCGTGCTGGCGACCGCACGGTGCTTCGGAGAAATGAGTGACCAGCGTTGTGGCCAATAGTGTGAGTGGAATAGTTGGAACGGGTAAGTGTGCGAGTGTAGTTTAGATGATGTTGCATAGTTCACTTGACTTTAGTGATGGAAGTATACGTGCTGATGTTTGCTGTGAGATGTGTGACAACGCTGTTGTTTCTGATTTCAGGTTGATCTCTTGTAATGTGCCGTTTCACTGTGTCGGGGCTGCAAAACGTAAGCAGGTGAGTGCACTTCTACTG